TATTCGAAAGATCATATTCGAAAACCTATAAAAATGTGTTTATAGACTTGTGTACTATTGCTAAAATAAATATCCAAATTCCTAAGCAAAATTTGCTGCGGACAAGCTTTCAAGTCTATAATTCAATCTGATCGAAAATATTTCTGCAGAAAAATTAAAAAGCTATACATCATTCGATGCAGTGTTTCACGGTGATTCCGAATATGGTATTATATTTGACGAAATGTGTGTTTACTGCTTTACTTGTCTATTTTCTGGCTTTTCAAGGCATTGAGATTTGCTTTGTGTGACATTGGATTCAACCCGATACATCTAGATAAGTCAATATTTTTTACTCTTTTACCTAGATGTTCTTGCTGGCGCATTGCCCAATGCTCCACCAAGAACATCTAGATTTTTCCGATGAGCATTTTTTGCTTGGGTGTCTCTTGAGGCTTGTAACCTTCTAGTACAAAAACTGGGGTCAATTTTTTGAAAACATGTTTTTTTTGGGTTTTCTGGTCCCTCTCAGTATTTTGACCATAGCTCAGCAAGGAAAGGGTTCTGAAGGACTGGGATGCGATATTCGGACTCGTCGTTCAATTCTCTATCGAATAGACGCTGGAAAACCGAAATCTATTTTTCACTCGAATCTTGCTTTCTGTGCATCTTATCTTGCAGCTATAATAATTCGCGGCAGCAGGGTAATTCCTTCTAGAACATACGATGATCGCGTTTGCCCTTTCAACAACCGATGAGTCTCAACTGACTTTGTGGAGCTCGCAAAGCTCTATCAATCTACGCGAGCTGCAGATCTACACATTTCCTCGACGCTATCCCTGTACTGTTCTAGGATCGGGATGCGATATTCGGACTCGCCGTTCAATTCTCTATCGAATAGACGCTGGAAAACCGAAATCTATTTTTTCACGCGAATTTTGCTTTTCGTGCATCTTACAACTAATGAATGGTATCATTTAGATTGATATTATCTACTGTTCATATCGAGAGGATACTTATCCATCGTACCAAAAAGGCTCACTAGAAAATTGATTTCGATCCAACTGAACGTGAAAGAAAGCACAATTCTGCCGAAAGAGAGTACTGATATTGTTTGGCGTACTTACGTCTATATGCTCCTCATAATTCGAAGGTTACTCTTCAAAGGATTATAGTTGTCCGATAACTCAGACCGTGGCCTAACCATCTTTCACACCTGCAAACAGAAATGATTCGCACGACTTTGGATGGCAATTATATCCTAAACTATATTCTAAAAGTCATTCGAGGACTGATTTGGATAGATCTTGATCACGGATATACGATATATCTCCCACTGCTTTTTCATTGTTCTCTTCTTTGTATCATCACATAATGAGTCATTTTTTGCGATCATATAAAAAATCTCTTAAGTTATTTTTGCGTTCTTTCACATCTTACGGGTAGCACATATAAGATAAGTGAGCGAAACTTCCAGATTTTTCTTCTTGGTTCTTGTCTCTATTCTTGTATGTATAAAAACGACCAAAATTTCGAAATAGTTCATATGTTGTTCGAAGAAATCGATACAGAAGAAAGCACTAGCTCACTAAGTGAAGTGAGCTCTTTGGATGATGATTTGGATGGCATGCATCTGGAATCTGGAAGTTCCGTGGAAGAAATGTCTGATGACGAGATGGATTCAAGCAGCTGGAATGAAATAAAATCAGAATCATATGCAGAATTTATGGAAAACCGTGGACTCGTCGAAGAAGTAGCTTCTCTTACGGAAGATAATACAATCGATCTCATTGACTGCTATCGGCATTTCATCACGGACGAAATTATCGATCTTATGGTTCGTGAAACTAATCGATATGCGAAGCAATACTTTCAAACTCATGAGATTACCAGTCGGTAGAAATTTCGTCAATGGAAACCAACCACTGATCAAGAGATGCTCAAGTTTCTTGGAAGCATTATCCAGATAGGGTTGGTACAAATGCCGAAACTGAGCCGCTACTGAAATAGCAGCCAGTTGTACGGATCGGAGATCATTCGAAATTCTATGTCGAGAGAGAGGTTCGAATTGCTCCTCAAGTTTTAGCATTTTTTGAACAATGACACGAAAAATTCGAACCAAGATAGGCCGTTCAAGTTGAAACCGCTCTTGGATTTATTGAGAGCCAGATTTTCGTCAGTGTATATACCTGGTTCGGTTGTCACTATCGACGAAAATATGGTACCATGGCAAGACAGGCTTTCGTTCAAACAATATATTCCTGGAAACGCGCACAAGTACGGTGTCAAAATTTACAAGCTAGCTGTAACCAATAGAAACAAAATATATTTCGGTATGTTTTCAGAAGTTACCTGCACGACAGCAGGTACATCAGCGTCAGAGGACCCGCACGGACCTCTTGGTTATCTGGTTCTGATTATTTTGACCGTAGTTATTGTAACCTTGATTGACAAAGAACTTTTAAAGCCAATATGTGTACGCGTATTGGAGACTATATACGAATATTTACAACATGAAATATGCAAGTCAGTGATAGCTGAAACAGACAGACGCAAACAAGCACCTGCACAAAAAGAAATCGACAAATCACTATTATATGCTATGTTTGAACATGAATCGGTGCAAGAAGAAATAGACAACCGAATAATAGACGAAATTCAGTGTTTTATACCAGAACTGGCAAGAAAACATACAAAATTACTGAAGCAAATAGATGATTATGTAGTAGAGGTGCCAGAACCACCTGAGCACTTTTAGTTCTCGCTTTATGTTGATTCACTAAACAATAGTAGACGAGAGCTTGAACGTATGCGGAGAACTGCATTACTACATGAGCTCACGCTAACTAAATTGCGCAAATGTTCACTCGTAGTATCAGAGCTACGTCAAACTGTAGTTGATCGATTGACTGATGCGACAGTGATACAGATCCAACAATGGGAAGATACACAACAAAAAATAGATGAATTACGCGAGAGCTTATCATTTTTATAGCCATTGAGAAAATTTGTCTTACTAGCAACTTCAATTCGTCAAAACTATTAGATTCCTTGAAATAAACCATTGCCGAAAAATCAGCGCAAGTATTCGAAGCGTCAATTCTAACATTGTTCCACTTATCGGCACCTGACTAAACTTCTTCGTGTTTATAAAGAAAAAATAAAATGGCAAATTCGAACAAGCGCAGACCCATTTTCGGATGTTGAAATATGAATGAGTCTTCATTGTTTGTATTCATATTATATTTATTAATAGGTACACCGACACTTTAGCCTCGACAGTTGAGCCTTCAGCTGATTAATTCTCGAACAGGAGAAATCGATATTCGATAATTTAGTTCAATTTGGAAGTAAGGTACATAAATATGCGACATTTTCCTGTGATATGAATAACTCACTGGTTTATTCTTTGATAATTCAGTCAGTTATCTTTACAAGAATGAAAAAGGTCTTTGTAATATGTCTTTTGTTCGTCTGGTCATTATTACCGTCCCAGATTGATCAATACGAAGACCGCGGACGATTGCGAATGTCTGAATTACGAGTCCTGTATAAATGACTTTATAAGCACAGTATTACGGCCGTCATATCGTATACGACAAACATCTGCCGTCATTAATGGTAATATCTGGCACGTTTCAGTACCATTTCGCGCCCAAACCGCCGTAGAATAAAAGCCTTTATATATCTAGAGTCAATATTTTTACATGATTAGATTCGCCCTCTTCAAAACAACGGCTCGCTTTTTTCAAAAATTTGTTTCATTCCGGAGAAAGTACATTTTTTCTGAATGAGAAGCGAAAAAATCGGAATTCTGCCCGTAAATCTCTATTTTCTCCATCAGAACTCATTTTTCATGCAATAAAAATATCATATTCGGAGTTACCATCGAAAGCCGAATCGAATGATATACTTTTTTTACCCCCCCGACCACCTTTATTTTTCTCGAATTTTCACGTCGAAGAAATACTGAGATTTTCACCAAAACATGAAAATCAACGAAAAATTTCGAAACATATATCATTCGATCAGGTTTTCGATGCTAACTCCGAATATGATATTTTTATTGCATAAAAAATGAGTTCTGATGAAGATAATAGAGAATTTTAAAGAGGACCGGCGAATCCAATTATGTAAAAATACTGACTCCGGGACTCTCCAGAAAGCACCTGCCGTTTTTGCTAAAATGAGACCTCTTTTTTAGTCGCTTCGCTTTTAACGTCTTTGGCGAATAGATGTTTAGATATATAAAGGCTTTTATTCCATATTCTAGTTCACTTTTCAACGCTGAACAAGAATATCTGAGTTTGAACGTTGCAAGTTGTAACCAAACTTAGAAAACTCAAATTTAAAAAAAGGCGTGAAAAACCGGGTTTTTGACCTCTTCATAGTATTTTACAATTTTCTCAGCGAGGAAACGGTTTTGAGAGGCCGGGAATACATATTCCTGATCAGCGCGCGATTCTTTATCGAATGGTGTGTATAATATAGAAAACTAAATTCTGCTCGATCTTTGCCTTACGTGCATCTTATGTTGATGCAATGTGTCGGATGATGGATCATTTGTGCGTTGTGATTGTCGTATATTATTAAACCAAAACGAAGATCGGGGTCGTACTATCGAAGAGCGTTGTGAGTTCACCGGATTATAGGGTTTCCCTAGCGATGTTTGCAGATTAGGTGGATCTTGCAATCGAACGTACGGAAGATTCGGTCGATAGGACAGATTACTCGGTTGAGAATTGGTATATGTTTGCAGAAGTGGATTTTGAAATTGAGTTGTGGTTCGTGGTAATGTTGTCGACACTGTATTATCGAAGTACCGTAAATAAGATTGTGTCGATTGAAGTTCGGAAAAGTTTTCTTGCTGTAGTTCTTGATCGTCTTTGGCAATTTTAAAAAATGCCTGAATTGCTCTTGCTGATTCCGTGAGTGCTTTCATTTGACGTTTTATTTGAATTTTTAATGAATCTTTGACACCATTCTCGAGTCACGATATCATCATTCGTTGAGACATTGATGGGTCATATTCACGACATAATTTAATAATAGCGTCGTAATATGACGTGATTGTTCATCGGATTGCTGTTTTCGTTGTTTCAATTGTTGAAATATTTTTGATAAGGATTCTGTGGGGTCAAATCGTTCGAAAAGTGCTTGTTTTAAATCATTCCATTCGGCTAATGATGTATTATTTTCATACCAACGTTGTGCTTCTCCATTTAATATTGCTGTGCACATGCAATATAAAACGTCGTCCTTCGCTCCAATCATTTTCCAACTCTTTCAATATTGCTGATAAATCGAGAAATTTTTTTTGTTTGTTCTCCGGTAAATTTTCCCAGATTTTGCAAGTTTTCTCTATAACAGACCATCATTGCTGACTCTTGCGTAGCAGTTGATATCGTAGGAAGTTGATAGATTAGTATAGACGGCGTCATAGTTATACCTTGTGGATGAATTCGATGATGGAGTGAGCCCGGGCTGAGCTTTGTTAGATATTGGAGTTGTTTATTTAACTGTTCGTTTCGATGGTTTAGTTAGCGGATCACCTGATAATAACTGATTGATTTTGCTGCTTCTTAAACCGTGCGCCGTTTTTTATGTTGTACGAGCGATAGTGTAACACAGGTCACCGATTGACGAAACTAGACGATAATAGACCTTCTGGTGTACGAGAACCGATTGCGAGAATGATTCAGGCGAGTCCCCTAATGGGAACTTCCTCTTAATTATACGACGATGACACTCACTCAAGTTACTCCCTACTGGGAACTACCTCTCAGGGTGAATGACTTATTCTAAAGAGTATTTAATGGACTTACCCCGTCTTGTTACTTGTAATGACTGAAACTGTCCCTTTTTTTCTCTTTTTTAAAAAAAGACTGTCTGATTTGTTTTTATTATAAAAGAATATAATAAACATTCAGTCACGGCATCAAATATTAGGTTTACTTTTGTAGTTTTCTACAATAGTGAAATATGTATATTTTTCTGCTTGATATCAGTAGAAGAATTGTGGTTGTGTGTTTAATGAACTAAAAGCTTTATGTGAAATGAACAATTTGACAAACAAACTACGGACTGACTTTTAAACAGTTATGTATAATTATAATTAATGAAGTGTTAATTTATGCAAATTTGTGTCTAAAATAATGCCAACATACGCTGTTTTATTTGCAAAACAACATTTTTTTAGCATCATAAAACGAAGAGTATTAAGGTGAAAAAATTCCGTCTGTTTATTAAACTGTCATTTAACAAATAAACAACTTTTATTGTTCGTCAAAATCTTCATTCAGCTTATGGTTATCCAGTATAAGCTAACTCAATATCCTGCCAAAGTAAATTAGATCACAGAAAGAGTGCCTGTTTCAAGTATTACTCCTAACGGGAAGAAAAAATTTATAGAGGTTTACTTTAAGAGACGTTCCATTGAGTGAATCGGGTATCCTTAAGCAGGCCTGTCAATCGCGAAAAATAGATTTTAAGAGTTACATCATTCGATTTCGCATGAAAAACTGGGGTGACGAAACTTTTTTAAACCTTATGAGTCCTTTTGCTCTGGAGAAAATCAAGTTTTCTCAAGATCTAAGCCTAAAAAACCCGAAAATTGACCAATTTCAGCTTTTTACCGATCATTCATACACCATCACGTCGGCCAACACGCCAGCTTTAAAAGTATCGTGAGGTTTTAAAATTTTTTTGTTTCGTTGCTGGGAAAATTCATGTTTTTCAAATCAGAGACGAAAAACTCGAAATTCTGCCCGTAATTCTCAATTTTCTCGATTAGAACCCAACTTTTATCCAATAAAAATGTCATATTCGGAATTAGGATCAGAGATTGAGCCGATTGTTATGTATTTCTACCCTATCCGACTACTTTGATTTTTGAAGAAATGCTCTGGTCATTTTTCAACGTGAATTTTCTCCAGAACAAAAGGACTCATAAGGTTTCAAAAAGTTTGGTCACCCCAGTTTTTCACGCCGAATCGAATGATGTAACTCTTAACAAAATCTATTTTTCGCGGTTGACAAGCAGGCCTGTTCTCGGGATCTCCTCTTGAAAACGGGAGTCAAACGGCACCTTGATTCCCCACGGCTTGGGCGCTGTATCGGATTTTCTATCAGTCCCAGGACTGGCACCTGGTGACTATTGGTAGCCTTGAAAACGTATGGACTATGGGTAATCAATCATGCTGAGTCTCGTGGCAATATTTACTTTTAGAAAAAGTTCTTAGAAACTGGCGAAAAAGGAGTTTTACGAAAATTGGGGTTTTCAGGCTGTTTTCACTGAATATTTAAAAATTCACTGTTCGCTCAAAATACCTTAGAACTAGTTCAAAACTTCAGGATATGGTCAATTCTGTCCGTTAAATGTGATTATAAGATCGAAAAATCGAAAAAGCATATTTTTGTTAATGAGTTTTCCAGAAAACCTTTCGAGAAAACCTTAGAATTCTGTAAAATCTCTTTCTCGATATCCTGTGAATAGGATATAGAACAGCCTAAATACTTTACATTCTGAAGTTTTGAACTATTTCTGATGTATTTTGAGCGAACAGTGAATTTTT